TCATCAAGGCCATCCTCTGCTACATATACAGCTGGAGCCATGGGCCTCTCCATCTGTACTTCTTGGTTGGTGGTTTAGTCCCTGGGAGCTCTGGGGGATCTGATTGGTTGATATTATTGTCTTTCCTATGGGGTTGCAAACCCCTTCAGCTCCTTCAGTCCTTTCTCTAATTCCTCGATTGTGGACCCCATTGGGAACACCATTCTCAGTCCAAAGGTTGACTGCGAACATCTGCCTCTGTATTTGTCAGGCTCTTGAAGAGCCTCTGAGGGGATAACTATATCAGGCTCATGTCAGCATGCACTTCTTGGCATCCACAATACTGCCTGGGTTTGGTGACTGTATGGATTCCCAGGTGGGTCACTCTTTGGATGGCCTTTCCTTCAGTCTCTGTTCTGCATTTATCTCCGTATTTGCTACCAGGAGTATTTTGTTCTCCTTTCTAAGAAGGAGCTAAATACCTACACTTTGTCTTCCTTCTTCTTGAGTTTCATTTGGTCTGTGAATTGTATCTTGGGTATTACGAGCTTTTGGATTAATAGCTACTTATCAATGAGTGCATACCATGTGTGTTCTTTTGTGATTGGGTTACCTCACTCAGGATGATATTTTCTAGTTCCATCCATTTGCCTAAGAATTTCATGAATTCATCATTTTTAATAGCTGAGTAGTACTCCATTGTATAAATGTACCACATTTTCTGTATCCATCTCTCTGTTGAAGGACATCTGGGTTTCTTCCAGCTTCTGGCTATTATAAATAAGGCTGCTATGAACATAGAGGAGCATATGTCCTTGTTATACGTTGGAGCATCTTCTGGGTACATGCCCAGGAGAGATATAGCTGGGTCCTCAGGTAATACTATGTCCAATTATTTGAGGAACTGACAGACTGATTTCCAGAGTGAATGTACCAGCTTGCAATCCCAACAACAATGGAGGAGTGTTCCTCTTTCTCCACATTCTAGACAGCATCTGCTATCACCTGAGTTTTTGATCTTGGCCATTCTGAATTGTGTGAGGTAGAATCTCAGAGTTGTTTTGATTTGCATTTCCCTGATGACTAAGGATGTTGAACATTTCTTTAGGTGCTTCTCTGCCATTTTATATTCCTCAGTTGAGAATTATTTGTTTAACTCTGTTCCCCATTTTTAATAGGTTATTTGCTTATCTGGAGTCTAACTTCTTGAGTTATTTGTATATATTGGATATTAGTCTTCTATCGGTTGTAGGATTGGTAAAGATCTTTTCCCAATCTGTTTTGTCCTATTGACAGTGTCCTTTGCCTTACAGAAGCTTTGCAATTTTATGAGGTCCCATTTATTGATTCTTGATCTCAGAGCATAAGCCATTGGTGTTCTGTTCAGGAACTTTTCCCCTGTGCCCATATGTTTGAGGTTCTTCCCCATTTTCTCTTCTATTAGTTTCTGTGTATCTGGATTTATGTGAAGGTTCCTGATCCACTTGGACTTGAGCTTTGTACAAGGATATAAGTATGGTTCAATTTTCATTCTTCTACATGCTGACCTCCAGTTGAACCAGCACCATTTGTTGAAAATGCTGTCTTTTCAGGGAAGTAGGCTCAGATATTTTGATCATCCTGATAAGCCCTTAGAAACAGTGATCACAAGAGTGTTCACAGAACTTTGTTTATTGCCTTGCTTGTTCTTTGACTGTGTATGTTTATTGTCTTGCTTATTCCTTGACTATTTGTATCTATTGTATTGCTAGTTCCTCAACCTAGAACTGACCTTAATACTTGCATGTAATTAAAATGGTATAAAAGCAAAAAGGAGGAGGGGGTGGCATAGGGGATTTTTAGGGAGGGGAAATGGGGAAAAAGGGTGGCATCTGAAGTGTAAATAAATAAAATATCAAAAAAAAGAAAGAAATCCCCCCCAAAAAATTAAAGAAAATGCTGTCTTTTTTCCACTGGATGGTTTGGCTCCTTTGTCAAAGATCAAGTGATCATAGGTGTGTGGGTTCATTTCTGAGTCTTCAGTTCTATTCTGTTGACCTTGCTGCCTGTCTCTGTACCAATACCATGCAGTTTTTATCACTGAACATTCTCTTCTCTCCACAACTTCTGTGTTTACCTTGACATATTTTACTCATGCATATGAGAACACTCCTGGTCTATTCTATAACTGATGCTTTCATTTCAACAACCATTTCCTCAGGCACATCACAGGCTGAGCTGTTCCTCCCCTGTTTTGGACATTTTCATCTACTGCCTGGTGCTTTCTATATGCTTAAACACACATAGCTGTAGCAGAAACAGATGAGCTTCTCGTCAGACTCATTCTCTTTTATTTTAATTTGAGAATTACAAACATTCTGCATTTTCTAGGCTTCTTAGCAGTATTTTGACCATGTGATTAAGGTGATTCCTGTCAAAAGTGAGTGAAAAAAATGTGTGACATCTTGGCCTACCACATTAAACACTTCCCATGTGCATACTTTCCTCCTTCATTCTCCAACGTGGGTCAAACAATCACATTCATCTTGAAGGGAAAACCTGAAGATAGTGGAGTCACTAGAGGTATTCATCTTATGAATAAAAGAACTTCCTGCCTAATACCTGCTTCAGAGTCTTACACATGTGTTCTGCTGTGTGTGCAATTTATCCACAGATATTTTGCGATTTTTGTGTTTAGCTATTGACATTACTCTAATACAAAAATTGGTATCAGAAGTGGTGTTAGTTAGTGATCCAGCAGTCAAAAGCAAAACAATTGACTCTGGAGGTGGAAAAGATGTAGGCCTATGCTACACAATTGAAAACAATAAAAGATCACATGCCTGACAGTTTTGGGGGAAGGGCTGCAAAAAGTTAGAATGGGAGTTACTTTTACATTCTTCCTTCTGCAAAGTATGACAATAAGGAGACTAGCCAAATAAAGAATCAGGTGGTCTGAAAAAAACTGAAAGGAACTGTGTAATCCAGTGAGGGAAGTCCTTAAAGAATTAGAAAACCAGAAAATCAGTTCTAAATAAATCAAATTGAAAACATTTCCTTCCCATGTAACCCTATAGATGTTCCAAATTTACTAAAATTAGTCCCATCAAATTGACAAGAGAGGCAAGATGAATTGAATTTCCTCCACAAACACCACAAGGAATATACATTGACCAAATAAATATGAGTTTGTTAAATTGGTGGCATTCCAAAGGCCTCTTGGAGAGCTTTAAGGCCTGAGTGAATGATTCTAAGACAAATAGTATGTAGCAAGTTCCTAGTTTAGATCAAGCAAATATGGACGGACACAGTGAAATACAAGCATTGAAGCAGCTTTGATGAGCAAGATATTATACTTAGTGGGCAAGGAAACTACCAAGTCCACACTCCTGAAAAGTATTCCTGTACAACTAAAGAAACAGTTCTAAACGTGTGGATCACGAGCCCTGTGGAAGTCATATATCAAATATCCTGCATATCTGATATTTACAGTACAATTCATAACAGTAGCAAAATTATAGTAATTAAGTAACAATTAAATAATTTCATGGTTGGGGACCACCACACTAATTACTGATATAATTTTCACTGTATTCAAATAATGCAGTAAGGTAAGAAAGCAGGATTTTGAAATTCTGACCCAACTTCTTTGATAATGCATTTATCTTAGGAACTTAGTGGGTATCTTACCTTTTTGATTCTTACATCCTTCAAACATGGTTTGTTTTTCTTTACTTCCTTGTTCTTGAAAATAGAAAAAGTAGGCTTTTCCAGGCATTACTGAGATCAAACCTGCTTTTCTGTTCCTTGTTAAACAGTGTTGAGACCACAGAAAGATTAGTTAGCTGTCTGTTCAAGGACAATCTTATTCCTGGAAGGTAATGCTGTGAAAAATTAATACAGCCACTTGTCATCAAGTTTTTCATCAAGGTCATTACTCTTCTGTGTCCAGCAAACCACGGCTTTGAAAATCTCTAAATACGTTTCACTTAGCTAACGCCTATCATGAGTTTTAGACATGCCATGGTCATTGTTTCTTTATCCTCAATATTGATCAGAGATTTTCCAGTCAGGAAACTAAGGTGTAATGGTCTAGAAAAAAAGCCTTGATTTTTGTCTTCAGCTGAAGAGAGCATGAACTCACTTCCCACTTCTGCTGTGACCATGATGTTAATAAACATGGAAGAATTTCTTATCCAATGGAGCCAATGACTTTGGAGACTATAGGACAAGGGAATTTCTTCCACAAACTAGAATCAAAATCTAATAAATGAGCTTCTTTTACAGGCCAGAGAGTCTTCAGCATACCTACTGCTAGAAGTCATCAGGGGCTGTGGACCAGAAGCAACTCTCTCTCTCATTAGTCCACTTTGATCACAGAAGTTTTTTAGATAACTAGTCAAACATTGTGTGTAGCAAGTGTGTGACAACTTTATTATATTTTTGGAGGAAGATACCTGTCATGATTTTCTTTTTAGTTTTCTTTAGTTCTTCTTAAATAGTGTAGATTATCAGAGAGCATGAGCATCCCATTCTGCAAAGGAGGATGCTCTGCTCCTGAGAGATGGGGAACATGGAGTTAGACACTGTTTCTGGATGTGTCCGTAGGAGAAGTGTAAAACTCAACTCCTAGTCCTCTGTCTAAAAAAAAATATACACCTTGGTTTTTCTACTACAATTGCAATTCATATAAAATTCACATGATTAGTCCATCTCCACTCATTAAGATATCTGTGTATCTTTTTATACTTCCTAAACAGGGAATTTTCTTGTAGGCATTGGTTGGCTATGATATTTCTGCTACTATATACTTGGAAATATCACCAGAACCCCTAGGTTAAGAGTTCCATTGGTATGATAGTCCCTACTTCAAATTTTAGTCATAAGCCTAAGAACTGGCCTACACTTCTGACCCGCTGATTATGAATCATGGATACCAGGACCCAGTTATAGAGTTTAATTGTTTCTCTAGAGGAGCTCACATAATTCAGGGATGCTTTATTTTTCTATTTATTAAAAAAGAAAAACAAAAAACATTATACACTACCCTTAGAGGGGTTGCAGGTATAGTTGCTGTGTCATGTGTGTGTCATTGGTGGCAGAGAGGAAAGAGACCATGTCTATGTTCAGTGTTCTGACATGCAAGCATCTGAATGGTTAGTAGCTTAACACTCCCTGAAAAAAAGTGAGTCAGAGATCACCACCAGTCCAGCACCATGCATGCCTGGGGCAGGAAGACCATGCCTGAGATGACCCCTGGCCAATGCCATAATGCAAGGACTGGGCATACACTGCAGAGACCATCCCTGAGATGACCTTAGACACTCAGAGACCCTGGACACCACTAAGAGGAGCAAGTAGTGCAGGAAAGGAGAAAGAGAAACAGAAGGATGCAGACACAACGAAGAGATGTAGACCTGGAGACTTGAGGATAATGAAGAACAGTCTGATGTAATGCCACCTCAGACTATGGTAGGTCTTGGCCTATGCTGTAACCAGGAGCCACATCTGAGTCTATGGCCATGTGGCAGCAGGGGTCTACTACCACCAAAGGCCAGGCAGACATCCCTGGTCTAAGCTGCCATACAGGGACATGATGATGTCTGAGGACTGTGCACAATTGGCCTAACTCCTCATGTGGGCATTGTAGAAAAGCTGGCTCTGTGACCATGAGAGGAGAGCTGACCCCAGACCTAGTCAGCTGCAGTACTCAGGAGACTGGCCCTGTATATTACAGGAGTTACAGGTAAGTCATCCCTCGGGATAGGAATGTAGGAAATATGGCCCTGCCACTCCTCTCCCCTCTGATGGCTTGGACAAGGGAGAGATACCCTCCTCCATCCTGCCCACTCCTCCCTCAATATCTGTGGTAGGTCGGAGAGCTGGCCCTGGAGTCATAAGAGCAAGAGAACTGTCCCTGCCCATCGTAAACTGCAGAACTTTGGAAAGCAAGCCCTGTATTTCAACTGGGCAGCTCAGTAGAGCTGACTCTGGTGGCAGTGATGTTGGAGAGCTAGCCCTGAGGGTATGACCCTCAGAGAGCTGGCACCCATCATGTTTCTGCCACGTGGTGGTGACATGAGTGAGAGAGATATGATTCCCACAACCCCTTGCCACATACAGTAGGTAGAAGAGTTGCCCCTGAAGTCATTAGAGCAAAAAAGTGGGTCCTGCCCCTCACCTACTGCAGCACTTGGGAGAGGGGGACCAGTACCTCGTCTGGGGAGCACAGCAGAGCTAGCCCTGGATATGAGGTTTGTGGGTGATTTGGCCCTGAGGATGGGAATGTGGAAGAGTCGACCCTGCTTCTTGTCTGGTGTGCAGTGCCATCAGGGAGGGAGAGATCCCCTCCCTCCCTTTTACCCACACCACTTTCAGCAGGCAAGAGAATAGACCCCTATGGGGTTATGAGAGCAAGAGGGCTGGCCCTGCTCCTAACCTGCTGCAGCACACAGAAGAACAGGCTCTCCACCTCACCTGGGCAGCACAGTTGAGCTGACTCTGATAGCTGAGTTGAGCTGGTCCTGTAGGTGAGAGTATGGAAGAACTAGCCCTACTCCTTGTCTTTTACAGAGCAGAATAGGCAAAGGAAAGATGACTTACACCACCCTCATGCCTTGCAACCTATGGCAGGTAGGAGAGGTGGTCCTGTGGACATGAGAGCAGGAGAGCTGTCTCTGCCTCTCACCCGCCTTAGCACTCAGGAGAACGGGCCCTGTTCCTCACCTGGGCTGCAGAATAGAACTGGTCCTGGACGTGAGGTGTGCCAGGAAGCCAGCCCCAAGGGTGTGAGCAAGGAGAGTTGGTGCTGCCTCTTCTCTGCTGTGCAGTGGTGTGGATGAAGGAAAGACATCCTCCTCTCCTCCCTTGTACTTCACCATCTATGGCAGATAGAAGAACCAGGAGTCAAGAGAGTGGAAGAACTGACAATGTCTGTCACTGGCTGCAACACTTGGGAGTGTGAGCACTGTACCTAGCCTGGGCAGCAGGTTAGAACTTACCTTCATTTTGGGGGTTGATGGTGAGCTGTCCCTGAGGGCAGAGAATGGGACAGCCTGGTGTCTGACCAGCTTAGATACTTCTCGGGCCCAGATCCCAAGCTTTGAATTGTCCCACCCCAATATCTACACCATAGATGAATCTATGGGGTTCATAAAGGGGCTGGTCCTACAGATCCAAAACTATAGGATCTCCATGACACAAGGCAACAGCAGGATGTCCGAGAGGAGTCCCAGTGGATTCCAGTACTGGCAGAGTGGCAGAAGCCAGAGGCCACATACAAGACCAATGCATCATGGCAATGAACATTTGTTGGCAAAAAGTGTGGACAAAGGGGTATACTGTGGGACACACTTTGACACACTACAGCTTCCACAATGAGATTTTTTCCCTCCTGTTGGAGGTTAGGTTGGAAAAGAGGAGGGCAGGTATGATGGGAGGGCAGGATGAGTGGGATTGGATGTGTGATGTGAAATTCACGAAGAGACAAAAAAATACATATTTTAAGACACTAGACAAGTAGTCAGATGAAAACATACATAGTGTGCAAGGAAGAGGTCTCAGAAGACGAACCGCCTGCCACACATGGAGACCTGAGTGTGTATTTATAACTTAAACATAAAAATTAGCACGGTTGTATACACCTGTAATTTCCAAAGCTACATGGTGGTATAGAACTGTAATTTCAGTGATGGGAACAAGGACCTAAGAGTGAAGACAGGCTGATCCCAGGGCCTCACTGATCAGCCAGTTTATCTGAGTCAGAAAATTCCAGGTTCAATAGACCTTGTGTCACAAAAGAAGTAGAAGAGCAAGTTTATACACCTAGTTTACACACACACACACACACACACTCATTCACACAATTGAGATGCATGTATAGTAGTTCTAAGCTTCCATGTTCTCTTTGAGCAAACTTCCTGAAAAGAATCTCTATGTGTTCAGTATTCTGGAAGCTCCCTAGAATCTGTCCTTCTGGGGGTTTATGGCTTCGTTGTATCAGCTTGACTGATTCAACAATGCTTATCACCTCAACTTTCAACCTTTCTAGTATCCCTGGAGATCAAGAGATGTGGGACTGAAAATCCCAACATCCTAATCACATTATTGGTTCTCCTGGCAACAAGATCCTATAAGAGTATCCAAGAGTGTGCCAAGACCAACCTCATTAGAACAAAAGATGTTTCTGTCATCAAAGAAATTTCAGTGGATTTGGATGCTCTGTGTTGCAAGCTTCTGTCACCCAAGAAATTATAAAACTCTTTCCTATGCCAGAGATCAGAGTTGAAGACCAAACTTACAGCAAAGGAACTTCCCAGCACCAAGCTACAAGGATGTAAAAAGCTTTGACTCAGGAAATCAAGCCTAGATGAGAAATAAAGTTCTTATTTTATCATACTATATAATGTAATATTAAGACATAAGGTCCTATCCCTTTATTGAGTAATATTGAAATTAAAGAAAAATTAATTTTTAAAATGATGTTGAGCTGAAGAGATGGTTCAGTGGTTAACAGCATGCTCTGCTTTTGTAGAGGACTCAAATATGTTTCCCAGAACCCAGGTCAAACAGCTCACAGTCACCTATGACTCCAGCTACAGGGGACAGCACTCCCTCCTCTAACCTCTGAAGATATATACTCATGTACACATATATTCAAATCCCAGTACACATACTAATAATGAGAACTTTGTTTTTTTTAAAAAAAAAACTGATAGGTACTTTTTCTAGAACATATTAGTCTCTAGAAGATTATTATGAAATAACTATTTATAGGTATTCACACAGAGATAAAAACCAAAATAGCAGAGCATGCTAAAGATTGGCCAGCATATACCACACACATTTCTTTACTCCTGAGCTCATGGCTGGATCAATCCTCTCAGCCTCAGTGAAGCAAGCTGTGGAAGGTTTTCTCCAAAAGAGGGCAGACAAAACTGATGTGTGACTGTGCCACTGTACACTTCCTCTGGAAGATCCTCCACACTCTTCCGTAGCTCAAATTAGAAAAACCACAATAATTCTGGAAAGCATTTGCAGACAGAGATGGAATCGTAAGATGTGAGAAGTGTTGGTCCCAGCCAGCATCAATACTTGGAGAGTCAGAAATTCAAGCAGCATGGTTTGTAAGCTATGAATAAGTGTTGCTTCTGTTACACTATGGAGAATTTAGAAAATGTTTGTTACAGCAGCTACCCCTGTCCAAATTAACTTCTGCCTGTGGTACTTTTAGATTCATGGACATCTAGATTGGTAAACTTGGCGTCTGTGCTGAGTGTTCTGAATAACGAGATGCAATGGCACAATTGCTTCACTTCCACCCTTTTCAAGTAGGCTTCTGGAGCCTAATGGATACCAGCTGTATTTTAGCTTTCTCTGTGTATTCTATTCAGTAAAGAACAATGTGACCATTCGATAATATCTGTTAAAATCTATTTAATTTTCCAAGGTTCAACTGCAAACACATGTGTATTTCTAGCTGGCAGATGCTTTTCATACTTCTTTCCAGTAATGGTAATGCTTCACTGGAGTCTACTTTGGGAAAAAGTAGAAATTCTAATATATTGTAATCAAGAAAATTCTACCAAGAAAACAAGGCTGCTCCAATTACATGTCAGAATGGAGTGTCAGAATCCACAGAACAGTTGAGAAAAATCTCAGTCCTAAAAATTCTACAAATAGGGGCAGATTCAGAAAAGAACATTCTGCCGGGCAGCGGTGGTACACACCTTTAATTCCAGCACTTGGGAGGCAGAGGCAGGAGGATTTCTGAGTCCAAGGCCAGCTTGGTCTACAGAGTGAGTTCCAGGACAGCCAGAGATATACAGCGAAACCCTGTCTCGGAAAAAAAAAAAAGAAGAAGAATGCAAACAGAAAAGAACATTCTACCCCCAACACACACACACACACACACACACACACACACACACACACACACACTACACGTGAAGGCACTAGGGATTTCCATATTTGTGACCACAGAAAATTCCATATACAAGATGAGTCAAAAATTAGCTAAGAGTACTTCAGATGGTCTTGATCCTATACTATATTTGCCATTACTTCATAAGCAATGAGTTTGTTGGAAAATGTGACATAGTTAAAAGTACCAAGGAGAATACAATTTTCCACTGGTTCTAGACCAGTTCCACTGATAAGAAAATCCAGCAAAAC